GGATCATTTCTAAAAACTTAATTCCAACAAGAATAAACCTACTGCTTTTAAACTGCTATTATTTATTCATTAGTTTGTGAGCTGCAGCCATAACTCACCTGGTTGCCAACCAATAATAAGTGTTCTCCCAGGAGAAAGTCTTTAAGCATATCTTCCATCACCATCATGTGCTAGAGAAAAAAAACAGCTAGAAGTTAACTGCGTTTCACATAAACAAGTTGAAATGAGAAAGTTAACCACAAATTAGATAGCCTCCTGGAATGTAAAGTATCTATTAGTATAAAATCAAATGCTTTGATTTTTCAAAAAAATACAAAATTAATGCTGTGGTTATAAGTTATATAACCAATTATGTTACTGATGCTGAAAACGTGAAATAGTCCACTTAAGACTAAACTGCTAACCAATATTTCAGAGTTTTTATAATTGAACGCAAATATTTTTTACCTATTAAACTATGTAGATTTGGCTTATAATTTAATACAATGTTCAAACTGACGTGTGCTAATGTAAAGATTATAAAGGCTTCCTAAAATAACTGCAGATTTCCATGGACCATTTTACACTGACTTGTTCCTAACCATTACCTCCAAAGCCATGTACAGTTTTACAATTAAAAATACATTATTTACTTTCCATACATTTTTATTTGAATCATGATATAAAATAACATAAAAATAAGATTATAGTTGTTTTCAATAGCCACAGAGGAAAATACATGGCTTCCTTGTATCTTGAGACACAAGACACTTGTCAGTAGGTCACAAAAGCTCACTGCAGTTTAAGTGGGAGACGAACATTCCTGCACAATTAATATTATACCTTTTCTTGGTTTTCACTATCAAATCAATAACAGCTTCATGAGTACCACAGAAGTTCCCTATTTGTAATAAAGGCAAAGTAAGCTTTGCATCTAATACATGCTGTAGGACATTCTGCTAGCATGTCACCTACTTTTCTTCTTTCAAATTTAGTTTATGGTGTTTTTGACATCCAGAAATTTTTCTTTTTATTTGTCAAATTTAACAAGATTTTTTTCCAGAGTTTTTCTCTTGGAAAGAAAAACTGAGAAAGTTTGTTCCCTCCTTCAAGAACAAACGAATATTCCCTGATATCTGTCTTGGTACTTTTTTATTTTAAAAATACTTTCAGATACACCATGGAACTAGAGTTTTAACAAGGCTTGAAATAACGTGAGCACATACATTTATTGTTCATTCTGGAACACTTTTAAGAATAAAAAGAAACACTATTAATAACTATGCTAGGACAACAAGTGTTAACAGAGCCTATCTCAAGCAAACCGAGATGTATGGTTACCTACAACATCTGGGTTCTGGTGCTAATGTGGTCTGGAGACATCTTCCATTTCACTAAGATAAAAAGTCAGTGCCAATTTCCAGACAACACTAAGTTCTTCCAGTAATAAATGGGCTAATCTGCATGACAAATATATAGCAAAGTTGGAACAAACACCTTCACTGCCAGGTAACAAAAGCAATATAAATACTGAAAAATAATTCAACTATATTTGTATCTTATCTGCTTTACTATTCTCATGTCCTCCTACTTTATGCCCTCATTGTATCTAACTAGATTATTCAAATCAGCAAGCATTAGCTAATGCTAAAGTCACTGCCAACATAATTCTCTTAGCCTGTTGGTTCACTTAGCACTACAATTTCTTCAAAGCCTCCTCTCCCAAACGTCTGTTTCTCCTAATTCCTTTCTACCTCCCTAACAATTTCCCTCCATAGTCTTCTGGGCTGGATCTTCTTGTAGCAATTCCTTAAATGTTGATTTTGTTGAGCACCTGCACTGTTTTCTCTTTCTACCTCTTGGATGCTTCCCTTTGTTGGCACAGTATAGGGCAGAGCAAGTTGTGTCTAGTGGTACCCAAGACTCCATCTGAGGGTTAAAGGAAGGCTGTGTGTTTTATTGGGTACCTACATGTCAGTGCTAAAGAATTAGCTCTGACTCTGTTTTCCTTAAATCTTCTTATCTACCTCGTGGCTTCAACTACCAGCTCTACACTGGTCTTCAATAGCAAGACTTTCCTTCTCTTCAACTCCCCCCTTGTATTTCTAAGTGGTGATTAAAACACTTGGTTATTTCCCATTTTCTAAAACTTAACATGTCTAAAATTCAACTTATTACTTTCTCTATAACTTCATTCTTTATCCTTCTTTTCCCCAATTGACAGCATCATTATCTTCCACCAGAGCAAACCCCTGCCATCAGCAGCCTGTCCACTTTATTCTTCTCTTCTTACATATCATGATCCAACTAAATACCTTACATTAGGTTGTTTTTTTTTTTTCAGTTTTGGTTGGGGCTAGGCTTGAACCTGGCACCCCCAGTATATGGGGCCGGCACCCTACTCCTTGAGCCACAGGCACCGCCCGATCCAACCAACTTGAGCTTCTGAGCTGTTAAGCCACCAATGTCAACAATGTCTACCTTTTCTTTTCCATCCCCACAGCTTTGATTCAGGTTTCATCTGTCCTAGATTTTTATCAGCTGATTTACCTTCTCTAACTTCAGTCTCTTCCTGTACCAATGTGTTCTTACAATACTGACACATCATTTCTTTGTTCAAAATCTTGTCACTTCATTTTTCCAACATTTCTTAAATTACTCTTAATACTTTAAGAACAAAGGTCACTCCATACGTTGTTGATCTACTTTCAGCCTCATCTCCTACAATTCTCCTTCTCCTACACTGTATTACAGACACAAACATGATTTAGAATAATTTTCTGTTTATGTTCCACTAGACTGTGCACTCTCTGAGAAAGAATCTCTCTCCTTCATCTAACACAAAGCTCCCCTGACTATCTCCTAAATAGCCCTGCAGCATGTCTCTACTCTATCCCCACTGTCACATCCTTAGTTCAGACCTTTCATAACTTTCTCCCGACTATTGCAATAACCACCTAACTAGCCTCTCTTTGCCTTGGTTCTAACTCATATGCAACATTAAAGAGTAGAACCAAAGTTAGCCGACATACAAACATGCTTAAGATCTTTCAATGACTCCCTCCTTCTTCTAAATAGAATGCAAATTCCTTCATTAGGAAGGCCCAGATGATTTGACCCTTTCCTAATTCACCAGCCTCTTCTCTTGATATTCTTTCCTTTGCAGCTTCAACTTCATCAGTGACAATTATACGTAACTCACTAAATGAGCTCATCTTTCATGTAACCAAGTCTCTGCAAATGCAGGTCTCACTGCCTGTGAAACTCTCCCAACTTTGCCTAGTTGACCAATTTTCTATGATCATTCTTATCTAGGCCCAGCATCCCATCAATGCTACCACAGTAACCTGCACATACTTACTTGTCTGTTTCCCCCATTAGATCATGAGTCCTAGATCTACATAGGCATGGGTGTGTATTTTAATCTCTGTTTCCTGATACCTTAGGACCAGGCCTGACACATTGTACCTGATTGTCCTGGTAGTTTTTATTTTAAAAATACTTTCAGATATACCATAGATATGAAGGAATATTTTAAAATTCTTTCATATCTAAAGCTCCTCAAAGTCATCAAGAGGCTATTAATCTCTCTTTCACCCACGTTCTCCTTACTGCTGCAAGTATAATAATATTCCTTAATGAAAGATTGAATAAAATAATACTCTTCATCATGAGCATTCAAAATTTTATTCATTCTTTCAATAATCCACTCAACACATTTACTTAGCAGTTACTAGATGCCAGGTACTTTGCTTTTTGCTAGAGATAAAGAATAAAGAAGACACAGGGTTTTGCCTTCATAATAGGAAAAAACACATTTCAAAAAATCAGTTTCAATACAATGTGGTCAGGGGACCACAGGGCATAGAACAAGATGGTACAGAAACACCTAAATCTACAATGGGTACTGAAGACCACTAATTCAAAGATAAAGTCCAGCATAAAAGGAAATAGTAATATACACATGGAAGCAAATTTAATCGAGCTACTGTCCCTATACTTGGTATAGCTAGAAAATTTTCATTAATGGTTAATTCACAACATTGAGGAGAAAGTACATTTAGAAACAGCTTACACAAAGTCCCTTAGGGCCACTGCATAAAGTTCATAGCAGCCCTGTAGTCCTCAATTTCTCTGTCACAAACACCATGGCAACAGACATTGTGTTCAAGGGCACAATGGTCTTTGCTACTGCTAAATTTCCTGCATTCTTATATCCTGTGCAGTCTTTTCAACCTTTGCGACCATGGAGTTTTTCAAATTGTCACTTATAACAACATCCTGATTCTTTTTTTCTTTGCTCCTTTCCACTATATGAATAGAGTGTGATATCACCAATGCTTGGAAATAGTGTATTTTCCTTATAATCGTGTTTATGTCTTTATTTGATAGACATAAAATAATTTTAGCCCTGGCCAAAATTTTTTCCCCTTTGTTGTGTCTTGTAAGTAACATTATTTTCTGTTCAGGTGTCTAACAATTGTGCAAGAACATTCTCTAGAAGGAAAATAAAACTTATAAAACATTAAGTCTGGGTTATACCTTTTTCTATACCATAGATAACAGTCATAGTTTTCACAGATTCAAAATTTTAAACCAAAATTTTTGTTGATCTTATTTTCCTGCCTCAGACATTTGGAGTAGAAAATTAAAAAGTAAAAAAATAAAAACAGGGCAGCGCCTGTGGCTCAAAGGAGGGGGGTGTCAGCCCCATATGCTGGAGGTGGCAGGTTCAAACCCAGCCCTGGCCAAAAACTGCAAAAAAATGAAAAATAAATAAAAAATAAAGTTTATTAAGAAAGAAGAATTTGTCTAGATACCTATAATGTTAATATAATTCAGGGATATAAATTATGGTACTTATTAAATAACAAAAGAATTGGGGAATGGCAAATTTAAAAAGAAATTTTACTTTAATTTTGCTAACTTTTCAATACAGTGAAAATAGTAAAACCCCATTCTTCTAACATAATTTGCAATTTATAACATTACTTACATGCAGATTAGTGCCTATTACAGAAAATTTTAAGTACTTTTTATTATAAAAGAAACATATAATCATTTGACAGAAAATATAAAAAAAGAAAAAGACCTTTTATATAATGGCAATTTTCTCTAAAAAAATTCTTATTAAACATCTACAATAAAGCTTTTTAGGTATAAACTTATTTCTATGCCTCAGAGGAATGGCCATATTTACTGGTTAGTTGAAAAGTGCAGAATTCTCTACCTTTATCCCATTAAAAAAAAAAAAAAGGAAGAAGAAAAGGAAAGAAAATAGAAACACTAGAAACTTATAAGAAGTGGAAGAGGATGAAGGAAAAGATGCACAGGACGCAGCCCTCTCTGAGCTACTGAAATGATCTAGTACGCAAGCAAAAGGGAGGATGAGTAGTTCTGCTTTGTTTTTAATTTAATAATGTACTTATTTTATTTGCCTTAAGAAAGTCATATATGTGCATGTGTATATATAAAATTTATTACCCTAATCATAGCAATAGCTCCTCCAATTTTCAAGTATCTCAGAAAAGGAAAGAATTTTGTTTTACAATGTCTTAATTTACAAGTTCAATATTTCATTCTGCATTATCTAAATTGAACTTAGGGAATTACAAAAATAATTACACATTGATTTCCAGAGTTTACTACCACATTTTAGTAAATGATTTATCTATGAACACAAAGCAATGCTCTTACCTGAATATTGTCATAGAACAGCACATCAGGCACTTTCATTTTCTCATGGGCATTATAGACAGGTGCCCTGACAGTGCCAATCCTCAGAGATCCAGAAGCTACTTCACCTAAACATCCCACACAAGACAAAGGATTATTCATAGATATGTCCTCAGAGAAGCCAGGCCACCCAATATAGAATGTAACATCGCTTCTGTAACACCTATAGGTTCTTCAAGGAATTTTAATCTAACAACTAAAGAAGTAAGCTTGAAGGTGGTGATTAAACATCACAGCTCTACATTCAATTTGATGAGAGATTATAACACAAAGATAAGCTAAATATCCATTAAACATTTTTGAAGTACCTTGAATATAATTTTTCAGGCTTCATCCATTGAAAAACCCTATAAGAGAATCCTGTAGAGCTCTATTCAAAAATGCAGATGAGTCCACCTACCCCCAGACCTCTTAAATTACTATTTTTAAAGACGGTCTAGGGGATAGCTATATTTTCAAATAAGCACCTAGATGGTTTTGACATCCAGCTAGATTGGAACCTCTGCCCATTACAATGATTAATGTAATGATTATTATTGTATTATTTCCTATCTGCTATAAATAGGATGGCCTAGAATAGATTATGAGCTCCTTAAAGCCAGGGAATTAAATAGTAAATTAGTAAATGTCTTGAAGTCAGGAACATATCTTGTGTATTACCTATAGTAACCACATACACATGTTCACTGTTTGACATGCTTCAAGGTCAACAATAACATTAACAGTAGTAATGTAGTAACTATTAATAATCCTAATATTAGAAGCCATCATTTGGGGGGCCTTCTATATACATATCCCAAATTAGGAGCTTCTTCACTTTTTCCTTATATAATTTCATGTAGTTTTCTTAATGAAATGAGCCAAGAATTATGAGAATATTAAGAAGAATATACCAAGTAAGTTGCTTAAAATCACCCAGGGTAGAAGTAAAAGTAGTCTGATATTTTTTCTACCATGTAGTGTAAATTCAATCTTTTGACTCCAAATAATACTCCATCCTGTGGAAATACCCCAGCAAGCAGATACACAATTACAATGACTTAAACAATTCATCCATCATTTTTTTTCCTACTTCAAATAAGAGCACTGCAGTTTGTTCCTCTTCTAGAATGCTATTTTTGTGCTAAAGCATTTTTAAAGACAAGGGGGGAAAGCAACATTTGCTTCTATGGAATACTGTGAACAATTTTGAGCTAAAAATAATTAAACTGTCACCCTGTTTATGAGTGCTACTCATTTGCCAAAGCACAGTAGATCTTAGCAGTACTCTTCAATAGAGGCTGGGCACAGTGGCTCACCCCTGTAATCCTAGCACTCTGGGTGTCCCAGGCAGGTGGACTGCTTGAGCTCAGGAGTTTGAGAACAGCCTGAGTCTGCAACCAGCCGTGCTAGAGGAACATCCCATCTCTAAAAACAGCTGGGTGTTGTGGCAGGTGCCTGTAGTTCCAACTGCAGGGGAGGCTGAGGCAAGAGGATCACCTGACCCCAAGAGTTTGAGGTTGCTGTGAGCTGTGATTCCACAGCACTCTACTGAGGGTAATAAAGTGAGATGGTCTCAAAAAAACAGGCGCAAAAAGCCCCAGTTTGGGGAGAAAAAGAAAGCTACGTAACAGTGTAAAGCAAAAGAGCAGAAATGTGGCAGGTCAATTTACCATATACTCGTGTGCTGGTTGAGATGATACATATAATTTCAGGTTCAAACAGCATCTGATGCTATCTATGGTTTAGTTTATGGAACATATCCATTCAGTAGATTTAAGGCTTTGAGATAATTTTATTCACTCAGCCAGTGTTCATTATTAAAATTTCAAGCTTGAAAAGAGAAATGCACTCAGATAATAGTGATTTTCTCTGGAAGAAACCTGGCTAGCTATCTTCTAAGAAACTCACAGGATGGTATTATTTTGGTAAATTTGTCAAAGTCCTCAGCCTAGTAGGCTCTAAACTTGGTTTTCTCATCACAACTGAAGGCAAATCTAACTTTCAGGAGAATTTTGAAGACATACATCATGGTTTCTCTATATATTCTGATATAAAATCAGAATTACAAAATATTACAGAATAATGAAAACTCCAGCTTTCACATGGATGATGATAGAGTGGTTGCAAGAATCAGCTCATTATTTAGAGGGAGACCTGCAGGGAAAGCCAAATCCTCATCAGAAGGTTGTTTTGTGAGCTTGCACTCTGACCAAGGAGAGTGAATTAAATGAATTCTTCATGAGAGATTCCCTTAAATTGAATGGAACCAGACAAGTAAAAAGTCTCTTCACTTAGGTTCCTTAATCCCTGTAAGAGGCTTAGATGGCCACTAATACTAGGGGCTGTCACCAAGACCAAACAATCGACAGTCTGAATTACAGTCTTTCTTTCAGTATGTTAACAGACTCAATCAAACAATATTATGAAATTCTAAGCCCCAAAGTTAGCATTCTGTCTCTGAGTTGGCTTTGCATATCTGTATTCAGATCCATTTTCACCCTAAAAAGGTCATCTTATTTCCTTAATATCAAACTCTTTTTTTTTTTTTTGAGACAGAGTCTCAGTCACCTTACTTGAGTGTCATGGCATCACAACTCACAGCAACCTCAAACACTCCTCTTGCCTCAGCCTCCTGAGTGGGTGGGACTACAGGCACCTGACACAATATGGGGCTATTTTTAGAGAAGAGGGTCTTGCTTTTACTTAGGCTGGTCTCGAACTCCTGACCTCAGGCAATCCACCCCCCTTGGCCTCCTAGAGTGCTGGGACTATAGGCATGAGCCACCATGCCTGGCAATACCAAACTCTTCTCTCAGCTGTTAAAAACATCTACTACATAGAGAGCCACAATAGGACCCCTCAGAAAGGGTCACACACTGGATATTTTGATAAAATAGGTAATTACATTTTAAAAAACCAAAATACTTTCAGTATACACTACTGAAAAATAGGAAACTTTTATAGAAAGAGCTCAAAATGATACTTATGGCTATCTAGAAGAAAAGTATCACCAAAGACAACACAGGTATGTGGAAGGAGGCATGCAATGGTATTCTGATTATTATTTTAGTCTATATCAGCCTAGAAAAGTTTCCAAAATATGTACTGTAGGATATTAATCACCTTCCATTATGATGTGGGGAAATAAACATAATTCTAGATTCAGTGGTGAAATACATTTGGGAAAAAAAAATTTGTCAAAATTAGACAAGTTGATTTACAGCAGGAATTCTCAGAGCCCTAAAATGTTAGTATCAATTATCCCTTTTTTTTTTCCTGAGACAGAGTGTCACTATGTCACCCTCAGTAGAGTGCCGTGGTGTCACAGCTCACAGCAACCTCAAACTCTTGGGCTTAAGTGATTCTCTTGCCTCAGCCTACTGAGTAGCTGGGACTACAGGTGCCCCCCACAACGCCCGGCTATTTTTGGTTACAGTTGTCATTGTTGTTTAGCAGGCCCAGGGTGAGCTCAAACCCTCCAGCCCGGGTGTGTGTGGCCGGTGCCCTACGCAGTGAACTAGGAGCACCGAGTCTCAATTATCCCTCTGAAGAGTAGGGAGAAGTGTACCTAGTAATACGTATATACTAAAATAAAGTAAAATAAAATTCAATTGTTTTTTAGATTAAAAGATTCATTTCTTCAACTAAATGCATAAAACAGAATGGATGTAAAACTAAAATACTTTTCTTGAAATAAAAATAATAAACAGCATCAAATGTTTGATAATTATTTCCCTTGAAGAAGAACCAAACAAATACTTACAATTATAATCCTTCAGTTCTGGTTCCGCATCATCATTAGTACTTATTTCTATTGAAGCGTCTGCCAGATTTTTTTCTAATGCTAACCTAGCAAGGCTTGGTAAAAACCTAGGGAGTCAAAGGGGAGAAAAATGGATAAAGTCAAAGCTTTAAGTGATTCTTCAGTATCTTTCAACATGCGCGCACACACACACACACACACACCTTTACAAGCGGTTAAGGAAGATTAGCCTGGACCTGGGAAATCATGCAAAATTTTAGAATAAATATAAACTTAAAGTTTGTATGAATTTTACATTTATGGAGTCTCCTTTAATAAGTAAAGCTTCTTTGTAATTAGCAGTACTTACCTGTATAAATTTTGCAGAATAAAATTTATCATAATTTGCTGCCTTTAGCAGATTTAGTATACCTCATAAATCTTATTAGTTCACTGGCTTATCAAATATCTTAAATAGATAAAACAACACTCCAGCCTGTTCTAACCTGACAAACGCAAATTCAAGTCAATGGAGGTGAATTAATGAGATTTTCTTAACTTTCTAACACACATTATTGAATGAATTTAAGATTACTGAACATTGTTCTTCTTGTTTATTTATTCTACATGTATGTTGTCAAAATAACAATCCAGTGACTGACAGAGATATTCTTTAGCAACTAGATTATGGTTGTCATGTGCTTAAAACATGCAACAGCTCCCCACCCATACAAATAAAGATATATCTTTATGCTCCCAAATGGGCTCAAAGAAATGATTTTTAATCCATGGTGAGATGTACTATTATAAACTAATCACTATATGAAACAATGTTCCAGATCAACATACTAAGAACATATCACCTGTAATTTAGGTTTTTCACATTTCTAAATCTTTGGTGGTAGTCCTCACAACCTTGAGTCTAAGCTCTAACAGAAGAGAGTGAGACAGACTTATTTTGTCCTGAGTTATCTTAGGGGAATTATTATAGGGCTAGGTCAGTAGCTCTGAGTTAACTACTGCTCCCCTATGATCTTTCATCACAGTTTTGAGATCATTGTTCATGCTATGCAAAACTCCACCTCCAGCTCCCAAACTGAGATTTTATCTTGTTTCCAGCATTCTTATCTTGGACCCCACCCACGCTTCCTTGCACCACTATTCCAAAAACTAGATTCTGCCCTGGTAACATTAGGCCTAGTAGCTACATTTCCAATATTCCCCTCAGACCATCTTGACTGGCAATAACAACTTTCAAGCTTAGACTTATTTGCTATTCCCAGACATCCCTGAAGTCCATACAGTCTGTCTGTCAACGCATCCTGACATTAGCCCTGTATTGGAACATTTCTAGATTGCTCTCCGAAGTGAGTGATAGCAAATGGTAGGTATGCTTCACTTTCAGGAGCAGTGGCAGACACTGCTTGCTAATAAGGCATTCTTTCCTGCTGAGATTGACAATTGTTCTTATTCTAGCACAGAGACAGCACCATCAAATAATCACAGGTGTCTTGGAAGTTGAAAATAATTATATCTAGAACCTAAATTCTAAAAAAATATTGCCCTAACAAATGAGGGGAATAAAGCTAACCCTTACTTTATTCCTAGATTTCAAGAGATTATTAGTTAGCTTTGTCCCTTCCAGTTGCTCAATGATAATTTCTACTAATTTCTTTTCTCTCTCTCTCTGGTCCTTGGTAAAATAAAGGAATGAATGAAATATCACTCTTTCTATTCTACTTTCCCATAAGAAAAGCAAGCACATATCCTGTTTCAAATTTTCCAACTGTACATATCGTTATTATGAATATCCCAATGTCTTTCTTAAAGTATTATTATATTTATCATTCTTTACCACGGGCAAAAAATGAATTGGAAAGCTTGCAGTCTTGGTTATAAGAAAAACTAAAGAAAGATTCGACTAAACTAAACAAAACAAAAACTAAAGAAAGATTTAGAACTGTATCCTGTGAAACCCAGAAACAGAAGTATAGTAGTTACCAGAGGCTAACTCACATAACTGTGTCTCTGTTACCCAAGTGGGATCAAATCTTCAGATTAAGGAACAAGATAGTAGGAAGAGAAGACAGCATCCTGTAAGGGTAGGGAATACTCTCAAGTTACCTCGTCTAGGCTATGAGGCTGAGGTGTACAGGCAATGAGGGAGGAAGAATGGGAGAAAAAGACTGAGAGGCTCAGTCTCTGCCTTCTATTTGAAATGTGATATTAATCAAGTAATTAATTTATGTTTGTTATATTAAATCTTACATTATCAAAGTGTACTGAAATACTTAAGACAACTTAAGGTTCATCCTATTTATAAATTTAATTTGTTATATTTGTGCATTAATTTCTCAAGGAAGTGTTGTTAATTGAGACATCTAAATGCCTTAAAAGGAAAATTCATATATCATATATATTAACAGTTTTAAACATGTGAAGGTTTTTAACTTAGCCAAGTTTTATAAATGGAACCAAATATTTTCCAAAGGCCCACTGACGTATTAATATCTGCCAGATTTACAAAGTAGCTGAAAAACAGAAAAGCCTAAAGTTCTATATTTTTAAAATTATAACATTAAAATATTAAATACTAGTTTTTAAAATAAAAAATAAATCCTTCCCAATAAAATGTGGTATATGTATACCATGGAGTACTACTCAGCCATAAAAAGCAGCAATCTTTCTTATACCCTCAATGAATCCCCAACAATAAATTTTTTTAAAAAAGTAGCAATCGAGAATGTTTTCTGACAACTGCCTGGAACTGGAGACCATTGTTTGAAGTATCATAGGAATGGAAAAACAACCACATGTACCCAATACTAAATTAGAACTATTAGATTGACACTTACATGCACGTACAGAGGCAAAACTCATTTGGAAGTCAAATGAGGAGGAGGGGTAGGGTAAATTCATACCTAACAGGAATGATGCAAATATTCTGGGTAAAGGGGACACTGAATTAAAATGTACAAATGCAAATTTTGTCACCAAAATGTATGTGCCCTACAATACTCTGAAATAAAAAATAAATTAAAAACAGAAACAAAACTAAAAGAAAATAATTAAATTCCTAGTTTCTCCTGTAAGCAAAACCATTCTTCAAGAAATTCACATCAAAAAAAAAAAAAGAAAGATATTCACATTAACAGTAATCATTATCATCACTTATTACTGTGTATGATGTCCTATCAGGCTTGTGATTTTTGAAAATTAGCTAACAGCTTAAACAATGAAAATTTTATATAGATGTTATTCGTTTTATACCACAGGGAATTTCTGAAAAATGTATGTAAACTATAGTATTTGAATGAAATAGAATTCTTAAGACAGAGACTTCTAATTAATTCTTCTACAATATAAGTATTTTGGGAATGCAAAATACCTGTAAATTTCTTCATCTTCTAAATTTTCTTTTCTGTGGTCTCTTTGGTTTTCAATTATCTAAAAAATGAATTTGCCTCAAGCTCCAACAGTTGATATCCATACCATGGGCTATGAGGATAAGGTGCGTAGGCAATTGTTATTACTACGGGTAATCGGTGCAATTTAAATTTAATTGGCATAAACAAATAAATGAATAATATTTTTACAAAATTAATAAGAAGGCTTGGCTCCTGTAGCTTAGTGATTAGGGCGCCAGCTATATACAGTGAGGCTGGTGGGTTCAAACCCAGCCCAGGCCAGCTAAACAACAATGACAACTGCAACAACAACAACAAAATAGCTGGGCATTGTGGCAGGTGCCTGTAGTCCCAACTACGTGGAAGGCTGAGGCAGGAGAATCACTTAAGTCCAAGAGTTTGAGGCTGCTGTGAGCTGTGACGCCAGAGTACTCTTCCAAGGGCAACATAGTAAGACTCTGTCTCAAAGAAAAAAAATAAAACAAAAAAAACTAGCTGATGTTTAATAAATATAGTCTAGATAATTTCTTTTGATTTTATCTGCCTAATAAAAATTTTATGAGTATAAATTATACAAATTTTGTTTTAAAATTTTCCACCACATTCAATTTTGTTTCACTGCTTCCATATGGAATGAGGTTGTTTAAAAAATAAATAGAACACTTTATGCATCAGTAACTTTTTAGTTCCTTCCTGCTATTGTGCTATTCTGAATAGGTGGTTAATAAAAAAAATTTTGTCCCTTGCTGAAGTCAACAGATGATGCATAAATAAGATAGCTCTTCTACTATTCTTTTATAGCTGAAAAGGTCATGAAGAGATAAGAAAATAAAGTTTTATTATGGTCAGTTGGTAAAAATGAAAAAATGAGTTGATCATTTGATTCAGTGAAAAGTGTATGAGAATTAAAACTAAGATTTTTTATTTTTCAATTTTTTAACTATGAAATATTTCAATATTTATAATTTATAAAATTATAAGGAACATTACAGAAAATTATGGAGAAAATTAAGTACCCTATTCATTCTTCTCCATTCCCGGAGGCAACTCTAACTTTGAAATTGATGCGTACTTCTTGTTCATATTTTTAAATTTGTTATGTAAGCATGTGCTCTTTATTGTATTTAACATTTTATACAAAGGGCAACATATATCAAACTTGTATCTGCAATTTGTTTTTCTCAGTCATTATTAAGTTGTCATGATACATAACTATTGACATATGTAGTTTACTTCATTTAAACTGCTGTATAGTAATTGATCATATAAATATATCAATTTATATATTTGTTCCCTAGTGATGGACAAACAGTTCATTTCTAATTTTTCATTGCTCAAAAAAATATGCTGTACATATCTCCTTATATACGCAGTAGATATCAAGAAGTAGAATTATCAAATCACAGAGATGAAATTCCATTCCCTTCAACTCTAAAAAAAATTAAACTTTTACAAGTAAAAATTTTAGCAGCATAAAATGGTAGCTGAGTATTGCTTTAAATTTCATCTCACTAATCAGTAATAAGACTAAGCATTTTTTTAAATGTTTATTGGCCATCTGAATTATTCATCCTTTGCATGAATGCCTAATGATCCTTTTCCCACACAGAATTCTTTTTATTTCCTTATTATTTGTAGGACCTAGCAGTCCCTAAATATCAATCCATTCTTGATTATAAGCCTTACAAAACATCTTCTAGGGTGGCACCTGTGGCTCAGTGAGTAGGGTGCTGGCCCCATATACCAAGGATGGTGGGTTCAAACCTGGCCCTGGCCAAACTGCAACAAAAGAATAGCTGAGTGTTGTGGCAGGCGCCTGTAGTTCCAGCTACTTGGGAGGCTGATGCAAGAGAATCACCTAAGCCCAGGAGTTGGATGTTGCTGTGAGCTGCTATAACTGAACTCTGTCTCTACAAAAGAGAAAAAAAAATCCATCTTTTTCTGGTTTGTAGCTTGTAAGTTAGAGTAGTTTATGGGGTCACATATGTGGGTTTTACTTTTTTGTATGAGATAAAGGAAATAATTTTATTACTTTTATGTTTAAGAAATGGGTCTTGCTATCTTGCCCAGTGCAGTGGCTACTCATTGGCATGATCATAAACTCAAGTGATTTTCCTACTTTAGCCTTCTGAGTTGCCGGGATTACAGGTGGATACCACCAAGCCTGGCAAGATTTTTAACCATTCATTGACAAGCCCATACATTCCCACACTAATTTACAATGTTGTCTCTAACATATATTAAGTTCCCTTAAATATGTGGATCTTATTTCAGGGCTCTGTAGCCTACACTAATAATCTATTTGTATACCACACTGTTATAATCAATACAATTTCACAGTGGATGTTGATACCTGGTAGGGTAAGTACATTCTCCTTAATCTTTTTCAAAATTTCCTTGGCTGTTATTAATCCTTCAAACTTCCATAACAATTTTGCAATAAGTCTGTCAAATGTGCTATACCTTGTTTTATTTTGACTAAATTATATCTACTGATCAATTTGGGGGAAAATAGTTGTACAATACTACATCCTCCCTTCCATGAACATAGTATAGCTTCCCATTTGTCTTCTTGTAAGTCTTTTTTATCTATAAAATAATTATAAATCATTTATTAGATTTATTCTTTAGTGCTGAAAGCTATTATTATTTTGAATAAAATTATTTTTTAAAATTACAATACCTCATTGACTGATGTTAGAGTGCAGGAATATAATTGATTTGGATAGATAAGTAATCTCACTAATTCTAGCAATTCACATGTATTTTCTCTTTGATTTTCTTCTGTAGCCAATCGTTTAACCCAGAGCCACCACACTTGCTAAAAGAGCTGAATGATGATTTTTATTTTGTTCCTAACTTTAAAGGAAATATGCAAGTATTTTTGCCATAAGAATGCTGTAATTTTTGGTAGATACCCTTTAATAGATTAAAGAATTTCCTTTCTACTCATGTTTTATTAAGGCTATTCATAGTTTTAAAAGTTTTATTTTTTTCTGCTTTAATTTGTTTCTTAGGTTTGGCTGTTGGGTGTTATAAAATATTCCTTTGCCTTCATTTATTATAATACCTTTTCATACTAATATTTTATAACAGTAAATTAAAACTAGAATGTCAAACCATGAAAATATAAAAAAATTTAAGTCTCTACCACCCTTGGTAGAGTGCTGTGATGTCACAGCTCACAGCAACCTCCAACTCCTGGGCTTAGGTGATTCTCTTGCCTCAGCCTCCTGAGTAGCTGGGACTACAGGCATCTGCCACAATGCCCGGCTATTTTTTTGTTGCAGTTTGGCCAGGGCCGGCTTAGAACCCGCCACCCTTGGTGTATGGGGCCGGCGCCTTACCCACTGAGGCACAGGCGCCACCCTACCCAACTATTTTTAGAGACAAGGTCATGCTCTGGCTCAAGCTGGTCTCAAACCTGTGAGCTCAGGCAATCCACCTGCTTGGGTCTCCCAGAGTGCTCAGTGAGTAGGGTGCCAGCAGCCAGTGGTGGTGGATTCAAACCCAGCCCTGGCCAAAAAAACTGCAAAAAAAATTAGAGTATTGGGCAGTGCCTATGGCTCAAAGGAGTAGGGCGCCAGCCCAATATACTGGAGGTGGCGGGTTCAAACCTGGCCCTGGCCAAAAACTGCCAAAAAAAAAGAGTATCAAACATTCTTGAGATAGTTCTAAATTGCTCATAGTTTTAAAATATAACATATTTATTTCAGGTAAATTAAACATAAATTTTAATAAAAATTAAGTGAAAAACGAAAACTTCAGAAATAACATTACTGCTATTGACAGAATGTCTGTGCCCTCGTAAATTCATATGTTGAAATCCTAACCTCTACCATGAAACTATCAATTAAAAACATTAAGACCGAAAAATAAAATGCACCTTAAAATCATTCATACTTATATCATAATGTTACCTTAACAGTAAAAGTAAAATAAAACGTTACTTTGTGTTTATTCTCCACATTGACTTTTTCTGTCATACCTACCTACATTGATTGTTTTCTCTATTTGCTTATTTTCACTACTATTGGATTTATCAACATTCTTTTCTTTTTACAGTTCCCCCAAATTTATATCAGCATTTTCAAACTAACAAAGTCTAAAGTGATTTAATACTATTCTTGTCCTAAAGAATAGAAGAACCTAAGAAAGCATTCGCCTTTTTTATACTCTCATTTAGCATTTTATTTCACCTTGTTACTTTCCCATATCAGTATTCATTTTTATGGTATTTAATTTTTTTTAATTTAGTATTTTTTAGTATTTAATTTTTTACAGTACATTTAAATTTAATGATATATTTACTTTCTTCTATTTTCTTTCTCACCATTTTTCTTGCACCTTAGTATTTTCTGGATTTAATCATCTTCTTTATTCTACTACTCTCTCTAGGCTCTTAATAACTACTTACTATCTTTATCCCACTACTATCTTTTAGCAGTTCTTACAGCAATGTGATCAGCTCAGTCTTCATCTGAAAATGCATTTAGCTAGGCAGAGACTTCTGGGGTTGACGTGCCTGTGTTAATTTCCCTCAACACTTTCAGGATACTATCCAATGTTGGATCTACTATTGCTGATCTAAGTTGTCAGCTTCAAATTTGTTCACTTGTATATTTTTCTTCTCTTAATTTTTAAGGTTTCTTTTTTTTTTATCTGGAATGCTATGCAGCAGCAATATGGTGTACACCAGTGTAGATTTGTCTTAATTTGTCCTACTTGAGAATCAATACCCTTCTTCAGTCTATAGACTGATGACCCCTTTTCATTTCAGAACACACCCAACCATCACTTATTCTAACAATTAATCTTCATTCTCTTTATTCTCTATTCTTAAATTCCTATTGGACATATGTTGGAGTTTTCTCATCCTATCCTACATGAGCATTAACATTCCCTTTCATACTTTCCATCTCTTTATTTTGCTGTGCTGCATTCCAGGTCTCTTCCTACGCTTCATTCTTTCTTCAATAGTCCAATTTACTGCTGGTTCACTCCCTGGGTTTGTTTGTTCATTTCTTTGTTTCATTTCAATGACTGTATTTTTCATTTTGAAAAGCTGTATTTGGCTGGTTTTTCCTTCAAATCTACCAGCAACTTTTCTCCTACTGAGGAAAACTGGTCATCTAGTTTTTAATTCTTTCTAGATTTATAATTATCTTAAACATACTTGTTTGATAGTCTCTAACTGCTCTATTATTTTTTGAGTTCTTGGCGTTCTGTTTCTTCTGAATATTGTACCTGACCAATCTCTCTTTTGTTCAAATATGGTTTATCAGTTTGTACAGTGGCCTCATATTCAGAAGGAATATTTACTGCCCTTGGTTGTAAAAGCGTTGCTGCAGACTGGTTTCAGGGTTGCTGCTTTCAATTGAAGTCTCCAGATAAAGAAAAGATCCCGCATGAATTTTTCATGTTAACTTACCACCTTTTGGTCACTACTCTGGCAGATGGTATCAATATGGACCACTCACATCACAAAGGGCATTTGATTCTCAAAGGTGAGCATTTCTTTTCTATCCTAACTTTAAGAAAAAAAAAAATCTTTCTTTTCAGTTCTCTGGGCTTATGGGCAAAAATTTTTAGTTGCTAAGGACAAAGGACACTTCAAAATTCTATTATTTATACAGGGACCTCAGTTACAGTCTCCTTACCTCAGAGATGCCTGTACCCACATATGTTGTCTTCAAACAGATACTAAAATCCAGCTGTGAACCACTAAGCCCTATTCCTTCCTGAAAGCCCCTTTGGCAGCCATTATCATAATCATCCTCTTTATTCTGGCTTTGCTTTCTTACTTAATTTCCTCTTCTTTTAAAATATTACCTCTGTTGAGATATAATTCACATGCCATACAATTCACCTATTTACAGCATGTAAGTCCCAGAGACTTGAATTCAGTGTGGAAGGAGAAAATGGTTACCTGGAAAGGCAGGCTTTAGTAACAGCACCGTGGAGACTTTCATTAGGATACTGTGACAGGCGACGAGATATGCGTAACAGCTGTCTGGTAGACAGTGATGCTGCCAATGACTGTGCCTATCAGAAGGAAAAGACAGCCGGTTAGGACACTCGTTTCAGCTTGCTAAAGGGTCCCTTCAGATAGGTATCTATCCCAGCGGAATTCACTATTTCTGAATGACAAGATCAAACTTAAAGTATGTATTGTTAATGAATTACAAATACACATAAACCAATTTACATATAAAATATCCTTGAAGATAGGTTTTCTAAAAATCTACAGAAAGTATTTACCAATTCAGTTAAGTTACTATGGCTCAGCGTCTGTAGCTCAAGCAGCTAAGGCACCAGCCACATACACCAGAGCTGGCAGGTCAGAATCCAGCCCGGCCTACCAAAACAACAATGACAACTACAACTAAAAAATAGCCGGGTGTTGTGGCAGGCGCCTGTAGTCTCAGGTACTTGGGAGGCTGAGGCAAGAGAATCGCTTAAGCCCAAGAGTTAGAGGTTGCTGTGAGCTGTGATGCTACAGCACTCTACCCAGGGGTAACAGCTTGAGACTCTGTCTCTAAATAAATAAATAAATAAATAATAGATAATAATAACAATAATTAAGCTACTTTAATTGGGCTAAGTTGGAAGAGGGGAGTGAATGGAGGAAGGATGTACATGACACAGGTCACTACTGACTTACAAATAGGCTTCACTGACTATTTGTTCATTTGTTTCCTGCTTACATAAAGCCAGCCTGTTAAAATATCCCGAAAATACTGAGAACTTTAAGCATATTTGTAGTTTCTGAACAATACAGACTGCTGACCACAGAGGTGTCAACCAGTTTGTCACTTGGGTTGCATGTTGCTAATTGGAATCCTTGCCCTATACTGCCAGAATAATCTCACTTTGTTTTCTTATACCTCCCCAAATTCCACTGATAGAGTTGCTAGTATAAAACTTAGGACATGATAAGTACTCAATAAATATTTCTTTTTTTTTGAGAGAGAGCCTCAAGCTGTCGCCCTGGGTAGAGTGCCGTGACATCACAGCTCACAGCAACCTCCAACTCCCGGGCTTAAGCAATTCTCTTCTCTTGCCTCAACCTCCTGAGTAGCTGGGACTACAGGTGCCCGGTACAACGCCCGTCTATGATTTTGGTTGCAGCCATCATTGTTGTTTGGCGGGCCTAGGCTGGATTCAAACCCACCAGCTCAGGTGTATGTGGTTGGTGCCTCTGCTGCTTGAGACACAGGCGCCGAGCCAATAAATATTTCTTGACTTAAACTTGAAAGCTGTTGAAATTCTTTTGGCTGCCAATATAATGCCATGGTAGAGCGTATAGGCTTTGGAATCGGACAAATTAGGCTCCCATTTATTAGCTGTAACTTGGCAAATTACTTAACTTCTCCAAGCCTCAGTTTCCTCACCTTTAAAATGGCAATAATAATGCTCTCATCTTTAAGGTTGCTATGAAGATTAAATTAGAAAATAATTCTAAAGTTCTCAGCATAGGTCAGATACATACAGGTGGTCAACAAATGGCTCCAATTATTATTAAATCAGTCCCTTCAGAAATGAAAAACTCTAATAGAGGAAAGGAATAGAATCTACACATTAACATAAAGGTGATAAATTATATTATTACTGGCTTAATTCCTAACTTAGAACACCCACATTACCAAAAAACAGAGAAGAGAAGCACTTTTGAAGCAACTGGACATTTTGGGAGGGCAGGGCAAGCCAGGGTAAAATGTCATAGAGGTTGAGGAGGGCAGAAAGGTGGTACTGAACACTTGAGGGACTGGAGAAGGGGGCACTATGGAATTAACAGGAAGTTCAGAACGGATAAGGGGAGAATGCCAATGACACACTGTACATTTGCTTACTGCAAAGTTTTGCCTAAGGTCATCTCTGTATGTCCTAAGGAAGAAAAAAAATTTGATCTCTCCTTCCTGTGTATTTCAGACCCCATAAGATGTTAGTCTGCTGTTATCAGCATTATATTTCCTCTGGCAACTAGGTTGGGAGCATACCCACTATGGCATATCCTTTTTTCTATTAAAAAATACATTCTAAGTTTCAAAGAATTCATTTACAAGCAAACATTTGGCCCATCCTTGTTTTCCAGTAAATTACCATTTCAGACATGGAGACAATATTTAAATATTAGAAACCATAAATGACAATTCAAAGTAGCACGTAATTTTTTTTTTTTTTGAGACAGAGTCTCAAGCTGTTGCCCTAGATAGAGTGCCATGGCATCACAGCTGACAGCAACCTCAAACTCCTGGGCTTAAGTGATTCTCTTGCCTCAGCCTCCCAAGTACCTGGGACTACAGGCACCTGCCACAACACCCAGCTATTTTTGTTGTTGTTGTAGTTGTCATTGTTGTTTTTAGCTGGTCCAGGCCAGTTCAAACCCACCAGCCTCAGTGTATGTGGCTAGCGCCCTACCCACTGAGCTATGGGCGCCACCAAAAGTAGCATGTAATTTAATGCTAAAAAAATGGAACAGTTGACAGCTACTACTATAGGGACTTGAAATGTTCAAGGGAGCAGGAGAAATGCTATGATCAAAAGGATGAAAGCAAAAGGAACAGAAATCACGTAATTTAAGGGAACTAGCCCAGCTTCATGATAGGATTGTGTTAGACTTGTTCTTGAATAATAAAGACCTGTGGGTTCGGTGCCTGTAACTCAGTGTTTAGGGCACTGGCCACATACACCGAGGCAGGTGGGTTCAAACCCAGCCCAGTCCTGCTGAACAACAATGACAACAACAACAATAACAAAAATAGCCCAGCATTGTGGTGGGTGCCTGTAGTCCCAGCTACTTGGGAGGCTGAGGCAAGAGAATCACTGGGCCCAAGAGTTTGAGGTTGCTGTGAGCTGTGACACCATAGCACTCTACCAAGGGCAACATAGTGAGACTCTGTCAAAAAAATAAAATAAAAACCCGTGAATGACACTCTGAGACTTTTCTTAATGTGCAAAGCAGTAAATGATTTTAGAATTAGACTACTGGCCTAATATCCTAACTTCAATCTGAAACAGTATGTAAAGTAGCTGAAGGACAGAGAGAACTAAAGCAGGAAACAAAAAGCTACCTCAATAGCCTGGCTGTGAAAGGATAAAGTCCCATACTAAAGTTATGGCAACAAGTGTTTCAGGGACTGGCAAGTGACTGGATATGAGAAAGAAAGGAAGAACTGAGGGTAAGATTCAGCCAGTTAGATTAAAAGTATCAAAAGTTAAATATGACTCAGAAATTCCCAGGGTATTCCCAGAAAGTTCCAGAAATTCTAGGGCACAAAATTCTAATCTTCAGCATGACACATTTCATTCCAATGATCAGAAAGGATTTCTAATGAATTTGAAGAACACCAACTCTCCTAGTTGATAGCACAAATGTTTTGCAATAATATCCAGGGTCAAAAAAATCAGAGCTAAGTTTTATGTTGAGCCGTTTAAGTGTTGAATAAAGGGTTTGGTAATCTCTGCTCTCACATTATTATCAATTAAATATTGAGAATGTAGTTTAATTTAAAAATTCCTAACATATTTAACATTTATAATATAAAATTAAATTTCTAACTACAGTTTTATCTTGCAAAAAAAAAAATAATAAAACCTGTGAGAATTTGAAGCACATTTCCTTAGTTACCATGGTTATACAGTTTAAGAGCATACCTCAAAGGGTTTTTCATTCTAGCATGATTATTAATACCTCAGATTATAAATATGAATGTTCTCATCAGAATTATAAAAAATTATTTTCTTTTATTCCTCTTAACACATTGACTGACATGCTAGAAAAAAATTTTTTTCCTTAGGCCCTACATGGCTCCCAAGGTACTCAAATTAAAGAGGCATATGAGTTATATAAGCTTCATGAGGCACTAGGCTGAAAGCTAGCATGAGTTACATACAACTTACATGGCAGTTAAGTGTTACAGAATTATTTCTTTCATGAAAATGTAACATCTTCTCAGGGAGAGAAAACTCTGGAGCCAATCTATTAATAAAAATCAATTTATTCATTCATTCATAAATGATTTAAATGTCTACTATGTGCTAGGCACCAGGCTGGGAAATGAGAATCAAAGAATGAGCAAGACCTACCCTCAGAGGCACTAGCGTGTTCAAGGAACAACAAAAAGTACTGTATAGCTGAAAGGAATAAGTGAGAAAATAATTGGAGTTGAGGTCCCAGAGGAAATTAACAGGGAACCTGTGACAGCTAGACAATGGTTCCCCACAAAGCTATCCACATCCTAATCTCTGGAATCTGTCAGTGTTACTTTCTATGGCAAAACAGAATTTGCACATTAAATTAAACTAAGGAGTTTGAGATGAGATTTTCTTGGATTATCAGTAATTTGTTACAACCACAGCTAATTAATAGGGAGATGAATGAATTATTCACAAAGATGGCTGTCAAGAGGACATAACAATATTTCAAGAGAAAGATGATAAAATTCAATTCTAGGACGATTCCTGACAATAGGTAAGAGAACAGATGAAACACTAGGAAGCTAAATTGGTGCCATTTGCTTTCAGATTAACTGAAGACAGCAGGAAAGCAAGGAATCAACAATGATGTCAAGGTTTTTAATTTGGGCAACTTAGCAGATAGATATTAGCAAAGTCAAGAAATTAAATCAGGACTAGGAATAAACTTAAAAGGGAAAGATAGTTTAGTTGTATAAGATATGTGAATTTATAATCATATCAGAATATTATGTTGAAAAGTGAAAGAAACTAACATTTATTATGTAGCCATCAGGAGGCAACTCTTTGCAGATATTTGTATAATTAATCATTGAAACCTTTTTTATGAGGTAGAGGGCACTGTTCCCATTTTACAGATGAGAACACTACGACTCAGAGTTAAAGAGTGATGGCCCTTTAGCATTCTAATATGCCATCTTGGAATGGAAAAATGATAATCAATTAAAAAAGAGAAATTTGAAGCTGAAGATAACTTGGAGATGGCACTTGAAGCTATAGAATAGATGACACCACTCAGCAAAAGAGACAGGGAAGAGAGCAGAACCCCCTTGAATACCAAGCACTCCTCTAGAGCTTCCTGGTGTTTTCCATCATGTGAGCCAGGACAATCAAGAAGGCATGATAAAATCACGAAATCAAAGTAAAACATATGTATAGGACAAAACATAGCGTAAGCTATGAAATACCAGCTTAAAAAATCGATTTTAAATCACTGAACTCTTAGAAAATAAAGCAACAGCACATCTATTAAATAGAAAATCCCACGGGAAAAGCCCAGACTTACCGTTGGATCCTGTGTCTCTCTGAGTTTGTGTGTAAATGATAATAATTTATCCAAAGCTTCTTGAGGTATATTTGGGACCTATTTTATTGAAGAATTCAAGAAAAACAGAAAGAATAAATTGGAATATCTGATCAATCAACCAGAAACTATAACTGCTTGTATTTAACTATAACTATATTTTTAGAGAGTCCTGATTATGAGTTACAAGTTTAAATCATGGTGAAGTTGCTTATTTGACTTCTCAGGAAACACTGAAACCCCCACGTTCTCTTTAAAATTCAGGTAACTAAAACAAAGTCACTCTTTATATATAACTACCAGGAGCAGAAAACTGAAAGAATGCACTAAGTCAATTAGCAAGCGGCATACAGTGTACCCATAAGGAACTTTTCATATATTACCATTTCCCGTTTTGTTAGGTTCAGTGTGATACTTTAAGCATTAATTTAAGCATTTTCTTACTGAAATCAAATTTCTTTATTTAGTAGCAATCTTACATATGTGTCTACAAAGTGCCATAATCCTTGTGTAAAGAATGGATACTCCAGGTGTCCACTTTTCCCAAAATACTACTTGAGGAGTGTGATCAATATATTGGTGAATTCTGAAAAGGAGTCACCCCAAAAACACACATTGCTTCCAACTATAACAAACTTTTAATTAAGTATTTGATCTTATTAAAGAGTAAGCAATTTTTATTTAAACAATAACAAATTTAAGGTTTAAATTTTAGAAGAGCAGAAAGAGATATTAGAACAATGACTGTGATAATGTGACCATTTCCCAAAAAAATACTACTCAGAGTTTCTTTGATCATTTAAGTAATTTGAATTTTTTAAAATTCTAAGTTCAATTCTATATACACTACATCTTGTTTTTTTCTTTTAATCAATCCTGTGATGTAATAGGTGGTATTACTCCCATTTTCAGAAGAAGAAACTATGAGTGACTTACGCAAACTCTGGAAGCTAATACATGAGTAAGTGGTGGATCTAAAATTTAAAGTGTTAATGTGTTGACCTCTAAAGTGCTAAAGTGCTGCTTTAGTGCTAAAGCGTTGACCTCTAAAGCCTATACCTTATTCACAACTACGCTCACAAGACCTAAAATTAATTAGTTTATTCTGGTATTTCAAAAGGAATGGGTACATATCTATAAAACATTAATAATTAGAGATCTAGAATAGCAGTATCTAATAGATTTTTCTGTCATGATGGACATTTTCTGTGTGCCGTCTAATCAGGTAGCCAAATCGCCCATCTGACTACTGAGTACTTGAAATATAACTGACAAACAGAATTTTTTAACTTGATTTAATGTGGCTGGTAATACTGCAGTGAACAGTGTAGTTTTAGAACTCCAAGAATGCTAAAAACACAGTGTTTGATATGATATACATTGAAATAATAGATCACACACAAACTAGAAGCCACCAGATGATCAGGCAAATACAGGATACGTTACAGTCCTGAGAGATCAAGACTGCTTAGAATTTTCCATCAGGTTTAGGAAACAATAATATATCTGGTTTCCCATTATGGCAAGAACTTAAAATAGTCATCATTGGCTGAATATAAAAAGGAAAGGAATTCCAAAACTTCTCTCCATGAGGAAGGAGGAGAGATAGCCTACATCCATGCTTCTTCATGTATGTTCCCAGACAGCGGAATGAGCACTACCTGAGAACTTATTAGAAACATAAATTTCCATGTGCCTTTCTACATTTACTGACTCAAAATCTATAAAGATGGAACCGTCTTTAAGACCTTTAGATGATTCTGAAAAAACCTTCTAGATCAGGAGTGTCCAACCTTTTTTTTTTTCTCTGCTGCAGAATAGAAGCACAAGACTTGCCTCAGGCCACACATTAAATACACAAAGACTAACATTAGTGAGGAAAACAAAAGGTCCCTGCACACTTATGATATATGACATTACAGAGCAAAACAGTTCTCAAAAATTATGCATGCAGTCCACAGGCCACAGGTTGGACACTTGTGAAGATGATTCTAGATGATGTCAAGCCCTCTAGATGATTCTGAAAAATGTTAAAGTTTGAGAACCATTGACATATACCATCATATGAGGACATTTTAGAGCAAATGGAAAGAAAAAGAAATGTCTAACTCTGCTCCAGCATATCTGAGAGTACCTTAAAAAGAGAACAGCTGTGGAAAATAGGTTAGAACTGGCCTCACTCTTACCATTTCCTTAATCACTTGGATTTCTTCACTTTTGACAAGTGGTTTCATATAATGGAAAAAGAACATGGTTAAGAATTCTGGTCCCAGCCACTGCTGTGTTGTGCTTCCAGTAACAGGGGGCTCTGCCAAGGCAATGATTCTGAAGGAAGGGTGGATAGAAAAAATGGACCTAAATGGGGAAAAAAATAAGAAAACATAATTTCTCATGTTAGAAATTAGGTCATGATAGCTGAAGCCCAGGCAATGATAAGGCTACATGCTGCCAATGTCAAAGTTATTAAACAAAGAATAGGCTTTAGGAAAAAAAAAAAGGTCAAGATATTCTAAGAATCTAAGACAAACAAAATAATTGCTTACTGCTAATAAATGTTGAACAATATTCACTTATAAAACTCCACCCCGTCACAAGCCATTGCTTTTGATGTGTTTTTTATGCCTACAACAAATTTTCCCCACAGACTCCTTAAAAGAAACTCCTATCCAATTCATATTCATTATATAGATCCTCTTTATTTATTTAAAATACCTTCAACCTCTCTTATCTTGCAAGAAACCCACTCTATGTCAATCATAGAAAGACCAAGAAGAATAATCAGGGTGAGAAGACTTTTTACAGAACAGAAAATTTAAGCACCATAAGGGGTTAGATTGAATTTAAAATTTAGATTGGCAATAAAAATACTTAGGTCTTTAAAAGGCAGGAAAAAAATGAACCTTTATATAATTCACACTTTTGTCATTGTATCTTTTTTATAGGAAATGTTATTATTTTTAAAGTGATCTCTTTTAGAAATCTCTACTAGGAAATCTGAGGGGAAGCATGTAAATATTCTAGGACACATACAGTAAGAGTCTCCACAGTTTGTGAAGTGACTTGAATTGTTTTTAAAGGGACTAAAAACCCCTTAACATGATCTAATCATATGGGTGGTACTGTCAATTCTACTCAAAAAACAAGCAGAAATATGCTTTTAGAGGATGATATAGCACTCACTAAGAGAAAGGATAGATGAAACTCAAACACTTGCCAAGATCTTCAGAAAAACAAAACTATAGATATATAACTTGTATCTCACTATTAACTGTTATAAAAGAGCCCAACAGTTAAGTGATTAGGCAGCTAGAATACCAAGAGGTAAGACATGCATGCGGAGAATCAGATAAGTACTCTGAAGATTTAAAACAAAGTCCCATCTATGTAATAAGTCTCAGACTGCATGATCTGTAATTTTAGAGACCACATCACAATCTGTAAACCAAAGAAAAGCAATTTTTAGAAATGGCCATATGAAAGGCCTAGGTAAATTCATAAAAGCTACCTAGTATTATTTCATTTCTTTAGGTAGAAAAGAAAACAAAAAACACTTATTTACAGATGTCCCAGCCAGGCCTGGGGGAGTGGTCGGTCCAAAAGCATTGTTCTGAGAAAAGAGAGAAGGATAAAAACATAGACAAGGGCCTGTAAGTCCTGAGGACAACAGGGTCGCTTAGGATTGCGAGTAATTAGATAGTCACATAACAAAAACTGGACACAGAAAATCCTGTGATGGGACAGCTAAAGAGAGAGGTTTTTCCATTTTCCAGTTCTATTAAGTGGTTTGCTACAATCCAGAAAACTACCCTAAAGCCTTGCAATAGATGTTAGTTTCATCCTTGATCCTTTTCTCTCCTAGTTAGGACAAAAGATAGTCCAGGGAGAGTGCGCCCGGTTTGACTATACACAACCTGCAGATGCAGTTTCTTACTTAAGATACTGACAGACACCAAACCAGGGAAAAAGTCAAAATCCAACAGGCAAGCCAAAAGGGGAAGTCCTGAAACCAACCGATTAGGAAGAAGGTATCAAATCTGAGCAGTAAAGTTATAAGAACAACTAAAATGAAAAGCAAGCTTGGTAGTTTAAATTTAAACAAGCTGATGGTCATTGCCCAGAACATACATTGTCTGTGGCTGGCTTTTTAGTAGTGACTGTAGTAGCGGTACCCGAATGAGCAGGCCAAATTTGAAGGAGGCAGTTTCTGAGACAGCTGATGTGTTAGGCAGAGACATGTATGCTGATTACAAAAACAGCCACCAAACTACTGAATAACAGGATGAGAAGGGCCTTTTGTCTGCTAGGTGCTCTCCCAAGGCTTCCTTACGTACAAATAGGTCAGATGGAAAGTCATTTCCTGACGGTGTGAGCTAGGTTCCCTAAGACTGACAGTTAGAGCGCGGAGGATCTGCCATGTACATTAGAGCAATTTGACAAACTGGTTAGTAACACAGTCTGAAGAAGTGATGTGCAATCAGAGATTATGAAACAAGTGCCATTAAAACTTTAAATCAAGGTTAGTTTAATTTTACTATAATTTTAACAATAGCAACAACAAAACAACAAGCGAAACTAAGATATGCCTTAATTACAGATACAGTAGATATTAACAGACCACAAAGGCTAAAAGATTTTATAAGATTTAAAAAATAAAAATATTGAGGCCAATATATTTGTGGGGATAAGTAAAAGTTATTTATTGTTTGTTTTTTGAGACAAGGTATCACTGTGTTGCCTGGGTGAGAGTGCAGTGGTGCCTCACAGCTCACTGCAACCGCCAACTCCTGGGCTCAAGCAATCCTGTCTCAGCCTCCTGAATACCAGGAACAGGTACAGATCCATGCTACCACACCCAGCCAATTTTAGTATTTTTTTGTAGAGATGACCTCAAAATAATTAAGCTAAGTGAAAGAAGCCAGACAAAAAAGAACACATACAGTGTGATTCCATATACATACAACTCTAGGAAGTACGTGCTGATATACTGTCCTGCAGCAGATCCCTGGCCGTGGGAAAGAAGGGTGCGAAAGGACAGGAATGGGGAGTACACAGAAGTGTGAGGTCACTTTGGGGATTATAGATGTACAGGCAGTTCCTGAGTTACAAACATCTGACTTACATGCAACTCGCACTTATGAACAGGGACTAGTACAGTAAGTCCCCGAGTTATGAACATCTGACTGATATATGACTTACACTTAAAACAGAAGCTTTTACAGGTAATAGGTAAATGTACCTATTCCAACTTCCATACCAATCCAACTACAGAACCAATCTCGTTCATAACCCAGAGACGGCCTATATTCATCATCTTGATTGTGCTGATGGTTTCACAAGTACATATAATCATCAAAAAGTATCAAATTGTGCACCTTCAATATATATAGTATATTGCAGATCAACAAAGCTCTTAATAAAACAAAAAAAGACCTCAATAAACTCCAGTCTTTTGAAGGTAATTAAATGGTACATTTTTGTAGAATTTGTGTATTAAGGAACATGAAATGATATAGAAGATTTCTATAAAGACATCAATCATGAACTAGAACAGCAGTTTGCAATTGGCCTTCCATACTATAATAGTAGCACACACGATACTATACTAGTATACTGTAACACTAGTAATTCCATCAGAACCTAGAAACTATACAGTTTGGTACACAACTCATACTTCTCTTATTTTTCCTTTTTCCAAACCAGTAAGCAAACTGCACTAACACATTCCTTATGCATCTTTATACCATCCAAGGTCTAATGTTATATTTGAAACAGAACAGATGCTAAATAAATAAGTGTGTATTGCTATTGTTAATAACTATCACTGCAGGAAACTTTTAAAGACCTTTGGTGTCAAGGACAAAGGTAAGTGATAGGGTACAAGTCAAATCTATCAAGTATGGAACATAAATGTCTTAACACAATAATTAAGTAAATGAGGTGAAAGCTATTTTAATTAATTTGATGTAAGCATTCCAAATTGTATAAAAAATTAACACCTTGTACCCCACAAATGAATAAATGTATTCATGATCTATGTGTATATGACTTAATAACAGGAAAAAAAAAAAAAGAACTGAAAATCATGGAGTCTCACCTGAAATCTTGCCTAAATCTGATATGGAATGAATTTGTGAGGGAAGGTACAGTCTCTAAAGATAAACTCACACAAATGCACCAGGGACTCTACCTAACAAATGCAAATATTGTACCCTAACTGTTTGTACCCTCACATTAATTGGAAAAAAGTAAAAAAAAAATTAAGAGAAAAGATAGACTCAAAACATACAATAAGCAATTACATCATTCAGTTGTATAGAATTTTAAATGGTTCTCTGACCATAAAAAAAACACAGAATTATTTTCAAAATCAGAACTTACTAAGGTTTTATGTTTTACAATCAAACATAAAGACTTGAGCATAAAATCCTGATCTATCTTAAATTTTGTTAAAAGTTTACCTGGCCTAATTTGCTAGCAAAGAGATGCTGAGGTTTCTAGAAAGCTAACAGAGAATATTTGCATCCCATCTTCATACGTGGGTAAGAGTAAAAGCTAAAGGGTCCAAAGAATCTGATTAAGGATTGTATTCAAATGTCCAATTACGGTTCACCACTCAGACTGACAGATTATAAAGTGTCTTTAATGTTTGATAGCAACAAATAAAAATAAAATATTCCATAAAAATGCAACATTAGATCATATATAAATATAACTAAGACTAAGCCACTAATCTAGATTGCTTCCCTGAGCTAACAGCAGGAAGGGACACATTTAGCAGCCTATAGTATTTGTACTTCCCCCTTGCCCAAAGAAGTTTTTCTCATCAAAGGAAGCAGTTCTATTTTGGTCCTTATTTCCTGAGAGAAAGGCAGGCATGGTATCTGGTGTGTGGCCATCATGCTATTTCTAAACACTCTGCTGACAGCCTTCTTAGTACCTTGCTAACAAGAGAAGTCTCTAACATTTCTAAGGGCATGTTAGGCTTGTGATTACCTTCAAAGAATATAAAAGCCTGTAGAACATTCTGTAAATGATCAAGTGGATGATCATGGTGAAGAATTAGTATACAATGAAGGTCAGCAAAGGTGTTGAGTATAATTGTTTGGAAACTGGGTTTCACACTATGAAGTTGAAAGGTTTGGGTAGCCCACTGCTACCAGCTTCTAATTACGGGACCCTAGGCCAATCTGATTTTGCTATCAAAAGGCATCAAACTATTCCTAATTAGTAGGTTCATATAAGGAAAGGTCACCTAAGAAGGTCACCTAAGAAGGTCACCTAAATTAGATTAATACAATTACCTTTACGGAAATATTCTATCTAAAAGCAGAACTGAGTCTAGACAAAGCTCTTAA